TAAACTAAATTACAAGAAAAAATAAATTAAATAAAAAATTAGAACTTTTAAATAGTTGATTTGATATTAACATTGATATTTTTTTTCAAATTTATATTTTATTAAAAATAAAATCATTATTGCTTTCTTAAGAACACATAAAATCGTCTTATAACATTGATAGAGACAAATAATAAAATAGAACATTAAATTCGAGATATGTCTCGCTGTATTGCGCAAGTACTCTTAGGTGGCGTTTGTTTTTTAAGAGGTACTGAAGTCTGAAGTCTGAATTCACTTCTGAATTTTAAGAGGTGGTTCTGAAGTCTGAAATATGAATCAGTCAGACTGTTTGTTTTTACGTCTGAAGTCTGAAATCTGAATCAGTCAGACTATTTGTTTTTACGTCTGAAATCTGAATCAATATAAACACGAACCTTCACAACGAGAGATGCTTGGACGGAGAGGCAGTCGAGAGATCGAGAGCTTGGACGGAGAGGCAGTCAAAAAATCGTGAGCTGTTGACATCGAGAGCTAAGAACGAGACCCTGAAATCGAGAGCTGGGAGCGAGATGGAGATGGAAGAGCGAGATGGAGATGGAGAAATCGAGAGTTGAGAGCGAGATGGAGATGGAGATGGAGAAATCGAGAGTTGAGAGCGAGATGGAGATGGAGAAATCGAGAGTTGAGAGCGAGATGGAGATGGAGATGGGATGCGGCTCTGAAATTGATTTTAGACATAGGATTTCCACTTAATTTTAAGAGGACATTAAGAGGTAAAAAAGCTCTTAATTTAAAAAAAAACAAACAGTCTGAAATCACTTATGTCTGATCGATTAAGAGTTAAGAGGCAATTAAGTGAAAATTTTAAAAAACAAACAGGCCCTTATAGTAATAATAAAATATAATTTTTTTAATAATCTAAATATTAAATAAAAGTGGCGGGGAATCAAGTTGTAATGAAAAGGACCAATTATGTAAAAGTTTTAAAATTGAGGGGGTACTTTTATAATTTCGATGTTTTTGGGGGTAAGCAATTTATTATTGGTAATTGAGAGAATATCCGCGTTTTAATTATCACACGCTGACAAGTTGCAGCAGAAGCGTGTGGGTCATGGGTTTCTGGATTCTTATCCTTCTCTTTGAATTTTGAAATTTAACTCATTTTAAATATATTTATTTTGGATAAAAAAAATTCTGTTATCAACAATCCTAATTGATTCTATACGAAACCCGACTTCAAAAATATCAATTAAAATATATATTTTTTAGCTCACTCAGCAGCTGAAATTAATTGGGGATAACATTCCCCTAAATTTGAACTTGTAAACACATTAATTTGTATTAGAAATGTACTCGTGCAATGCAGCGATATACATATTGATCTTAATGTTTCATTTATTTTTATCTGTATTGATGTCAGAATACGATTTTATGTGGTTTTAAGAAAGAGATAATATTTTTATTTTTAAATAAAATATAAATTTGAAAATATCATAATTTTTTTTAAAATAACATAATATATTTTTTGGTTTAATAATATAATTTTTTAATTTTAATAACAAAACAATTTGTTTTTGGGATAATAATATAATTTTTTTATAAAGATAATAACTAAGTATTCTGTTAGAACTCAATAATTATCCTAATTATATTCGAATTTTTTTATAATTAAAATGAGATGTTTATCATTTATTTAATTATGTTTATTTGCAGTTAGTTACACGAATTCAAACATAAAGCTTTAATAAGTTGTAGTTACGCACAATATACTTATAATCTTGATTTTTAAGTAATATGCATCAATAAACAGTACTTTATGTATAAAAAATGATTTTTACGAGTTTTCGTCAAATTCTTTATAATATAGTATAGATACGTCAAAATTCAATACATACTATTTAGAACATCTATAGTCGTTAATCTTTTTACAAGTTTACTGTTTATGACTTAATCCCTCAGTTTTCTCTCTTAATTACATTGATTTTTACTATTAAGATTAAATAGCTAACATCAAAGTTATAATATATAACTATAAGGGTGGTGTCTGATTAGTTTGAGATTGGCTCCAAAGGTCAAAAGTATCAGGAGGTCCCGGGTTCAAATTCAATGAGGAATAAAAATCCCCTTGTGGCCACGGAAGTTCAAATGCCGTGACTTCGGGCTATCTGCAAAACAGGTGGTCGTCCTGGAATTAGTCAGCTTGCATAGCGGATTGGATATCCAGGTTAATAAAAAAAAGTTATTATATATATATATATATATATATATATATATATATATATAG